CCTGGGAGGGGGGGGGGGGGGGGGGGGGGGGCGTTGGGGGGGTTGGAGTTGCCGCAGCGAGTAGATGGGGATTTGTCACAACGTTTACCAGTCGATTTGTATATCGTGTATCACACGCCGGAACCGCTCGCCAACAGTAGTTGATTGTGCAATGCGTATGGTCTTGGACACGTGGGGGAGCTCCAAAGTTTGTGGGCTGTGTGTCTTGTGGTTTTCAAGCTTTTAGGAGTTTACGGAGAGAGCGGTAGAATGATCATTGCGTTTTTGTTATTCGCTGGCGGCACCGCTATAGGGAGGGCGACGGACAGGGGCACGCACAGAGAGGACCATCCAGAGCTCGTAAGCAGTGACGGCGGGATTGCGTCTTCTTTTTGTTTGATGGCCGCGTTCGTCAATGACGTTCAGTCTGGAAGGTGAAGATGTATGCGCGACCGACCGCAAGCTCTCGGGGCTCTCATATACAGGATTGAGAAATGGTTTTGTAGAATGAGAGTTCGGGCACGTTGATGGCGGTGGGTAGCAGGAGCAAGCAACTCGGAAGTTACTTGCCCCTCATGCAGAGCCGAGACCGCCTACCTCATGGGGTTGAAGCGTGAAAATGCGCTTTTGGTCGTGTCGTGTTCGCAGCACGGGCGATACGGAACCGGAGTACCTGGTACTCCTCGTGAAACCGCTAGGGCTCTTCTTTTTTCCGGGCACGGAGGGATTTTTTCCCGGGATTTGTTTCCAGCAACCTTGTATTAGTGGAAAGCGATCTAAATAGGTCATGATAAGCACAATTAACTTCGGCTTCACGGTCGAGGAGGGAAAGGGATGGCTGAACCCTTCTCGCGATGAAAACTAAGGCACGCAAGAACCGCAGGGGGAAAGGTGGGACAACAAACAAATGAAAAACAAATAGCGAGAAAGGCTCCTTCCTGTGTGACCTTCCTCTTGTGTGACCCCGGCTGATGCGGCAGGAAACTATACGCCGAAAGGCCGGTAAACCGGCGCCAGAATAGATGGGACGAGCACACACAGAGAGAGAAAAGCACTAACCAAGGCGCCAAGAAAGGTTGTACCCCCCGCGGCAATACCTCGACATGAAGTACTTCCCAGCTAGAACGGTAGTAAATAAAGTCACTCCCTCTTTGGATAGGGAGATATTGTTTTTCGTGTGCCTGAGATCAAGGGGCACACCAAACGCGAGGGTCTGCACCTCTACGTCTAGGTCTCTTGTGGCGGCAATGCGCGAACCACCTACCACACAGATTCGACCATCGTTTGGGCCAAGTGGGCCAGGAAAGCAAGACCATTCCAGACACGCACTAATAGAGGGGGCGGCTCGGCGTCGATATTGCCCAAGTTCGGGAACTTCCGTCCTTGATTTGTTGTTCTCGCCGACACGCGAAGAACACACTTACCGCCAAAGGCAGGCATGACGGTGAAAAGGGTTCGGGTTTGCCATCATTAAAAAATATATACAAGTATATCAACTGAGTAATCCTTGCAGGCAGTCTCTACCGACTGTTGTTGGCTCTGATCATCAGAAGGCCGCCTGAGCTACACAACCGTGGGGGTTCTGCCACGCAACGCACACACGCCCAGAGTACTTGCATGGCTGCGCGGTCTTGCAAGGGCCGAAAGCATAAAGAGATTTCACCAACACGGCCGAAACCAATACATACCAGAACAACACCAGATTTTGGCACGCACACGCAACCAAGCTAGAGGTACATCTTCGCTATATTCCCTCGTGCCAACAATCACATGCCAATTCACAGAAGAAGGCACCCACCGATACACAACGGACAACCACGAAACACCGCGCTTGCAACGTGCCTGCTCTCGGTTTCGCAACATTCATTGCGCGTGTGTTGCAAAGCGCTACGTCATAATGTTCCATCGGGTACGTACAGAAAAACAAACAATCATGCGCAACAAATAAATAAAGCGCCGGAGAGAAAAACTAACAAGCAAGCGCATCATGCACATCAACTAAACTGGTCGCATCCTACCTCCCATTCGGGACGACACACCCTACATAACCGCTGGTGGTGTAAAATCGCAGGGATCGGGTCTAAGCTACAAGCACGCACACACGTTCTTGGCCGCGTCCGCCCTGTCGAAGTTGGACAAGAGCATACGCAAGCACACGAAGAAACGCTTTGAAGCAGAGCGTCCCAACATCAGCACTGAAGGCAACCATCAAATACCGGCACGGGTTTGTGCGCCGGCCAAAGCACCGGGCTTGTTTCCCCTGGCTCTAAGCCCCCCCCTGAATTGCGAGAGGTTGAGGGAGAGAGAAAATACACGCGGTACATGTACCAACGGCGCTTGAAAAAAGGGACGTGGGCAACGCCAAATATCAAGTTTGGCTGGGGTTGCTCATGGGCAGGCACCCTGCGGGCTATCTAGCCAAATTTTGATACACCGTGCCATCTCCGAGTAAGGCCAAAAACAAACGCACAACCCACGGGAAGGCTAGCTACACCCGGGGACAGGTGGCCGAAACATCCATCCTCACCGTACAAAAAACCAAACAATGTAAACAAACACGCCGCCGCCCGGCGCCATATATACAGCCGAGGAGACAACACAATCCAACATCATATCATACATGCCAACAAGAAAATGTGAAGGGTGGGTGGTGCCGGAAAATCCACACCACCGTTAAACGCCCGCCATCTGCTATTAATAACGCCATATTCGACCCTGCAATAGTTTTTTTTGGTTTACCGCTAACTAAAAAAGGCCCGGGGTATCTTCTAGCCCAAGTACCCCGTCGACGCATGCACGCGCGTTTGTTTGCGTGGGGCAGGGGCATCGTTACAATTGGTTGTGTGGGAGTTTCAACCGCCAGAAGCTGATGGTGGCGAGTAAAAAAGCTCAGCTATATCGCAAGCGTTCTCGAACCCGCCGCGTGTGGTGATAAAAAAAAAAAAAGGAGGGGGAGCACGTAGATACAGCCCCCGCCCTAACATGTACACACTAAACTCATCTACGTGAAACGCACTGCATCGACCATCGCTTCCTAGACACCAAACCTCGCCCTTTGCTTTTCCGAGCCGACAAACGCGACTCCTTCCAACCACAAGGAGCATGAGCACCCTTCGCCGCCCACTCTATGCGTATCGTTCATGCCAGTGCCGCCTACCTCATCCATATCAGCAGCAGTTCAGCGCGCGCTCTCTCCAATAGTGGGGGCCGCGCCGCCGTGCCACCCCCCTCTGCCTCCATGCGACTCGCCGAATGCCTCACTGCGCTTCGCGCTTGGCTATGTGCGCGCCTGGTCCGGTGAGAACCAACCCGGCGCGCTCCGTCCCGGCTGTGTAGGGATGCGAGGTCAATGGTCTAAAGACTGCACGGTCATGAGTACCCCCCCCCCCCCGATCACGCCTCTTCGTCGTACTGGTCCCGAAAGTCGACCTCCGCAAGACCGTCCTCGTCGATCTCCCCGTCCAATAAAGTCCCATCCAGAGGGTCTCCATCCATCCCGCCGCCACCGCCGTGGGGCCCCGCGGCCGTCACTACCGCCACCCCCCCCTGCCCGGGGGCTACGTGGCTACCCTGCCCCCCGTACACGGCGAGAGGCTTGCTGTAAGGGCGGTCCGTTAGCGCTGTCGTCAGTGCTGCTTCTACCACCTGCCATAACCGAGGGACGCACATGCGTTTCGTTACAAGTGCGAAGAGGGGGGGGGGGGGGGGGGGGGGGGGGCCCTTTTTTTTTCCCTGCCCTAAAGGGGAAAAAATTTGCCGGGGGGGGGGGGGGGAAAAACCCCCCCGGGGGGAATTATTTGGGTTGGGGCCCACACGCCCAAGGGGGGAAAAAAAAAACCCCGGGGGAATTTGTTCGAAAAGTCCCCCCAAGGGGCCATTT